CCCCGCCCCCCCTCCCCCAGTCCTAGGTGACCACTCATTTATTTTCTATCTTCATGGGTCTGCCTGTTCTGGACATTTCCTATAAATGGAATTATACGCTGTGTGGCTTTTTGTCTTTCACGCAGCAAAGCGTTTTCAGGGTTCATCTCTGCTATGGCATTGGGCAGTGGTTCAGTTCTTTTCATGACCAAAGAATACTCCACGGTGTGGATATACCGCATTTTGTCTATCCACTCATCATTTGGTGGCCCTTGGGGTGGTTAAGACGTTTTGGCTATCGCGAATAATGCTGCTCTGCACATTCATGTACACATTTTCGTGTGCTCGTTTAGTGTTTTATGGCCGTAAAATATTCATGACATGAAATGTATCATTTTAACCATCTTTACAGGTACAGTTTGGTTCAGTATCTCCAACACTGCCGTTCCACCGTCTCCACCATCCGACTCCAGAACTTTTTTATCTTCCCCAACGGAAACTCTGTCCCTGTTAAACACTAACTCCCCAGTCTCCCTTCCCCCAGCTCCCAGCGACCGCCATTTTCCTTTCTGTCTCTGTGAATGTGACTGTTTTAGGTACCTCGTATAAGTAGAATCATATGTTTTTTTTTTGTCCATTTGAACTGGCTTATTTCAAGGTGCATCCCTGTTGTAGCCCATGTTAGAATTTTATTCCTTGTGAAGGCTGAATCAGGCACCTGGGTGGCTCAGTCAGTTGAGCATCTGACTTCAGCTCAGGTCATGATCTCAGGTTGGTGGGTCTGAGCCCCACGTGGGGCTCACTGCTTTCAGTGCAGAGCTCGCTTCAGCTCCTCTGTTTCCCTCTCTCTCCGTCCATCTCCCATTCACACACTCTCTCTCAAAACTCAATAAACATTAAACAAAAGAGGCTGAAGGCGGAATCATATCCCATTGTAGGTATAGACCACGTTCTGGGTATCCATTCACCTGCTGGTGGACAATTTTGTTTCGCACCTTTGGCTGTTGTGAATAACTGCTCATTTAACCTAAAGCAATCAGCTATCTTGTGCCCTGGGTGAGGTGGTCTGCGTTGCACCCGATGTGAAACCGACGGCTGTCCCTTAAAAGCATCGCTGGCCTGTTTATTCGTGCCTGTGATCTCAGTCCTCAGAACATCCTGAAGTTCATGCCGAAGAGGAGGGACCTGTATAGGGTTATGGGACAGATGTCAACTAGCTTAGGATTGTGCAGCTTTTTCCATTCCAAAGCACCTGGGAGCTTTCCAGAAAATGCTATGAAAGGAGACGAGGGGGAGTTCTTGTCTATTTCCCCACACCATGGTGTGCTGTGATTTACAAGCACGTGCGCGCGCGCACACACACACAGGCACTTGCTGTCCCCCTGGTGTGATCATCTTTATTTTCTCAGGCAAAAATGACCACCTGGCACAATGGCGCCAGAGTATTCACCTTCCTTGTGGGTGCTGTGGAGACGGATTAGAGAGTTTTATGTTGAAAGGAAGGGAAGGCTCGGGAGGAGACTGGCTTTTCCTTCTGGAGTCTGTCTGGCTCCGGCGACCCTCTGTTATGTCCCCCTCTGGCCAGGCCTTCCCTGAGAGTGAGTCTGTCAGCTTCGCTGCCTGTGTAGCCTCTCTGGAAGCACCTTTGGCTGGAGGGGCTATCAAAGGGGGGGGGCGGGGCTATACACGCCAAGGAGGCAGAAGTCACGTGCAGTCACTGAACATGAGCAAAGCAAACGGGGACCTTTATGGAGAAAGCCTGTCGTGTAGCAGTAGATGTTCACAAGCCTAATCAGATGCCGACTTGCTCGAGCAATATTTGCTACAGCTAAATTCCAGACAGGCAAGCCTGGGACAGTCCTATCTTTGTCTAGTCTCACAGGGTGCCCTGGTTTGTTCTGCAGAGGGAAGGAAGGTGTTCACTGGTCTGGGGACCGAATCCACCCCAGCTGACCCGTCTCCTTTCTTCTTTTCTTCGCCCGCCTTCGTTCCTGCTTGGCTTTCATCTGCGTGGACCCCTCCTCCTCGTGCAGGGGAGAATCTGGGATTCTGGGAAGCCTGTGAAGATCTGAAGTACGGAGATCAGTCCAAGGTCAAGGAGAAAGCGGAGGAGATTTACAAGTGAGGACCAGCCAGATTGTTGGGAGAGCTGCCCGGGGGGCCTCTGCTGGCCACCCCCTTGCGTTTGAGGTTGAGATCGAATGGGAGGGACCGCATTCCTGGTGTGGGCCTTAGTCACTGCACCTGCCGTGCTATGGATAGCTATCTCCTCGCTAAGGCTTGGGGCTCCCTCGGATGAAAGTCTGGGAAGGCGCATGATGTCACCGCCCTGCACCAAGGGGGATGTGCTCAGGAGTTAAAGCAGGCTGCCCTGAGTTATAGTGCAAAGTGCTTTGTCTTTGACCAAACCCCCCCTTAGATGTCTCGAGAGGGGTGTGCGCGCGTGCGTGTTTGAGAGGAGAGAGACCAGGTGGTGTGGGAAAACTTCCTCTCCCCAGTCATCTTGCAGAAGTCAGGACCACGAAGAGAGGGAGATCCCCCAAGCCTCTGGGACCGTGCACCCCGCTTGGGCGTACAAATGTGCTTACATCTCTAATCTTGCACCTAATGGCTGTAGGCCCCACTTGCTCGTTCTAGCAGTGAGTCTGTTCTGCTCCAGCCCTGTCTTTCCCCTAAGCCACCCTCTGTGTTACCCAGGAAGCAGGGGTTCCAGTTCAGAGGGCCTCAGAGGGCCAGGCCTCCCTCTCATGGCCCGGTAGAGAGAGAGAGAGAGAGACAGACAGACAGACAGCCAGTGCTGCCGGGTGCCGAGCGGTTGAGATCTGCACCCTCCCTCCCCCGAGCACTGGACGTAGGGGACACCAGTCTTGGGCTCTGAGTGCCCAGCACGTTCGGGTCGTACTCACATGCGTAGCCATGGTTGTCAAAGCCCTGCTGCCGTGCTGGGCTGGGACCAGTCCCCGGCAGCCAGTGGACTGTGGCGCTGAGCTTGGGGCAGCAGGCCAGGTGGCCCCTCCCCTCTGTGCACTCGTCCATCTCAACCTCTGGTGTCCCTCCAGCGGACTTAGAGTGGACCACTGCAACTTTGGGAAAGGCACCAATAACACTGAAGGCAAGGGCTGGAGGTCTCGGGCCTCACGCTTGGAGGCTTCTGCACTTTCTCAACAACGCGTCCACCTCCTCCCACACAAGGACTGTGCACCGAGAGAGACAGGGGTGACGGAGGGATTGTGGTTCCGGGAAGGTCCTGTGACATCCTTCCTGGGAACAGTGGCACCTGACTGCCCGCCCCCCCCCCCCCCACACCCTAACTCCAAAAATCCACTGTAAGAAAACTAGCTGTCTTCACCTTTATAGCAGCTTCCTTTCTCTCCAGGGTCCCCGGGTATGTAATGTTAGTCTGAATCCCCAAATTAAATTTTTTTTCATGTTTATTTGTTTTGGAGAGAGAGAGAGAGAGAGAGAGAGAGAGATAGAGCGTGAGTAGGGGAGGGTCAGAGAGGGGGAGACACAGACTCTGAAGCAGGCTCCAGGCTTCAAGCTGTCAGCACAGAGCCCGAGGTGGGGCTCGAACTCATGAACCGCGAGATCATGACCTGAGCCGAAGTTGGACACTTAACCGACTGAGCCACCCAGGCGCCCCTAAATCTCCAAATTTTAACGTACAGCTGCATAGTGTGGCAAAACATTCACGCATCTCTAACCCTGAAACAACTCAGAAGGGGGAACAGTGGGGAGCCATGTGGCTGGGTTTGGGTTCTCTCTGGGACCATTAGCAAGGATGCCCTCGTCATCCACCCTCTGGGCGCTGGGACTATAGGTTGCTTCCCGACCCAGCGTTTGAGATTCATTTCTAAATGCATCTAGAGCGCCTGGCTGGCTCCGTCAGTGGAGCAGACGACTCTTGATCTCGGGGCAGTGGGTTTGAGCCTCACGTTGGGGATAGAGATTACTTGAAAACATTTTTTTTTTTCTAAATACATCTAGGCTGGGCCAAAGGAGAGCAGGGGCCCTGGGACACCTGTTTGGAGGTTCCGGGTGGGCCCCAAATCCTGGTGAATGAGGCAGAAGGCATTACGTTGGAAATTGGATTCTTTATTCTAACGCCTGGTGTTGCCCACCAACATTTTGTTTTCTCTCTTAGGGGTGGGGGACGCTAAAGTTAAATATTCCCCTTCTGAAGACGGGCGTGACTGTTTTCTTGCGTCTGAGAAATGTCACGTGACAACCTGTTCAGGGCTCTTTCCTGTCTCCTAAAAAAAAAGGACCGCTGTCATTCCCGGTGACCTGAGTCATGTCAGTCCCTCCCTCCCAAGCGGCTGTGAACTTTCATTCACGGACTTGGGTTAGCTGCTCGCTAACATTTCCCTCCCTGCTCCAGGCTATTCTTGGCCCCCGGGGCGAGGCGATGGATAAACATAGATGGCAAAACCATGGACATCACGGTCAAGGGGCTGAGGCACCCTCACCGCTACGTGCTGGATGCCGCGCAAACCCACATCTACATGCTCATGAAGAAGGTAGGTGGGGCCGGTGCTGATGGCGCGTCGGGGCCAGGGAGCCCTTCCCTTCCCAGGCACCAGGGAAATACGGGAACAAAGGGAGATGCCGGGTGGCTTCCTTTGCTGGTGTTGAGATGCAGGATGGTCAACTTGCACCTGTCCGCTGGTCTGGAACCTTGCCGAGCCCCCAGTCTTGGTGGCTGGGAAGGACCACTTACAGGTGCTGTGTGTGTCCTTAGGGGCTGTCGCTCTGTGGTGGCCGTAGAGGCAGTCATGACGCTGGTGATGAAAGCGTTGCTGTAACAGCTGTTCTTTGCTTGAGCAGCTTGGGAGGTGTGGTCACGATGCAGAGCATGGAACTTTGTACCAAGGACAACCCATGGGACAGGACTTGCTTCTCCAGGGTCCAGTGGTTTGTCCAGGGTCTCCCGGAGGTAGAGTCGAGAGTCCAGCTGTGTCTGCCTGCATCCAGAGGCTGAGCTCTTAGTCTCTTCTCGAGAATGGTGGCAGTTAAGGTAGCCCTGGCCCTAAGCAAATATCTCATTTGCTGGAGGAGCGGGAGGTTAGTACCCAAAAGAGACAAATGTAGTGTGATTCTGGTAAAACCCTGTGCAAATTCAGGTAGCTTTCTGGGTTCTGTTGTTTTTTTTTTTTAACGTTTTATTTATTTTTGAGACAGGGAGAGACAGAGCATGCACAGGGGAGGGGCAGAGAGAGAGGGAGACACAGAATCCGAAACAGGGTCCGGGCTCCGAGCGGTCAGCACAGAGCCCGACGCGGGGCTCGAACTCACGAACCGCGAGATCGTGACCTGGGCCGAAGTCGGCTGCTCAACCGACTGAGCCACCCAGGCGCCCCTGGGTTATGTTTTTAAAAATGTTTATTTATTTATTTTGAGAGAGAGAGGGAGAAGGGCAGAGAGAGAGAGAGAATCCCAAGCAAGCTCTGCGCTGTCAGCTCAGAGCCCAAGTCGGGTTTCGATCCCACAACCCTGGGATCATGACCTGAGCCAAAATCAAGAGTCAGACGCTTCACCGACTGAGCCACCCAGGCACCCCACATTTTGATTCTTAAAAATGTGCTTTTTTAATGAAAAAAAGGAGGGTGCCTGGGTGGCTCCGTCGGTTGAGTGTCCGACTTTGGCTCAGGTCATGATCTCGCGGTTCATGACTTTGAGCCCCGTGTTGGGCTCTGTGCTGACAGCTCAGAGCCTGGAGCCTGCTTCAGGTTCCGTGTCTCCCTCTCTCTGTGACCCTCCCCCGCTCACACTTGGTCTCTGTCTCTCAAAAATAAATAAACATTAAAAAAAATTTTTTTAATGTGATTTTTTATACAGCCTTTTACAGAGATACCCAGGAAAGCCAGATAGTAGCCAGAAAAAACCAGAGCCGTGGGTAACTTAAGGACAGTGTATACGCTTAGTAGATTGTGTGTCACGAGAGGCTGTGTCCTATGACAATAAAGTCAACATGACCCACCAATCCATAGTCTTCACTCCCAACCTCTGTCCGGGTTCTTGTAACTTTCACTGCTACTGCTTGGTTTTTAGAATGGAACTGTTTTGATAAATTTAAAAAACCCTTGGTCCCTACATCGTTGCTGTGGGCTTTGTCCCGTATTTGTTAGAACGAGAGTTTTGAGTTGAACCTGCACCTAACGAGCATTTGTGACGCGAGTTCTCTGAACCTGGAAATACCCGCATAAGAGGAATCTGAGTCTTGGTTTTTCTTTTTATTCACTTATTTTGAGAGAGAGCATGTGTGAGAGGGGCAGAGAAAGAAAGAGAGAGAGAGAGGGAGAGGAGAGAGAATCCCAAGCAGGCTCCGCGTTGTCATTGCGGAGCCCGATGTGGGTCTCAAACTCATGAATTGTGAGCTCACGACCTGAGCTGAAATCGAGTCGGATGCTTAACTGACGGAGCCACCCAGGTGCCCCCTTGTTTTGTTTTGTTTTCTCTCACTTTTATGTCTAAGTTCAGGGTAGAAAGGGATGTTCATGGGCATCAAGGTGGACTCCATGCTCATGGCTGTTCATTTTCCTTGGAGGCAGATACTGGGCGGGAGAGGTGGGATACAAGTGTCCTCTCATGCTTACTTGGCTGAAGCCCCCCCGGGTGGATTTTAGTAGGGGGGTTATAGACAGTTCTCTAAACCAAAGTGTAGCAGAATCAACGGGCGGCTTCTTAAGACTCCAATTGTCCCATCCTGGGCATTTCTGACTTAGTGGGACTGGGGAGGGGGCCTGAAGATGTGCATTCGTAGCAAGTTGCCAAGTGAAATTGACTCTGCGGGTCCAGGGGCCGTACTTGACCACAGTTGCTTTAGCCGCACACCTGAATGCCTTTCCCGCAAGGGTACAGGTTCTCTTAACTTTGCCATCTGACTGCCCAGGGAGGACTTGAAAACAGCAAGTGTATGTGTTTGATTTGACACCTCCCCTCTCGTGGTCACTGGTTTTCTCTTGTTCCCCCTAGGATTCTTATGCTCGCTATTTAAAGTCTCCAATCTATAAGGAAATGCTGGCCAAAGCCATTGAACCTCAGGAAGCCACCAAGAGAAGGCAAGTGGGATGGACTGTAATTGCTGGTTGCCTGCTGTTTTGTTTACAGAGAAGTGAGGGTCTTTTTCAGCCAAATGGTCATGATTGAGATACTTGCTTGATGAAAATATTGGGAACTGGGAAGGATTTCGTAGGGGTATGATTGCCTCATTGGCTTCATAATGCCCTGAATTAACCCCGGCAAGATTTCCTTAGTAATCACTGCCACTAAGTTTTGTTTCCCTTACGCTGGTTTGGAAAAGTTCTGATTATCGGACCGATAGTTACCCTATGGCAAATGGAAGCATCTCATTGGTTTTTTAATTTGCTACCCTTCTTGGGGCGCCTGGGTGGCTCAGTCGGCTAAGCGTCCGATTTCGGCTCGGGTCATGATCTCACGGTTCGTGGGTTCGAGCCCCGAGTCAGGCTCTGTGCTGACGGCTCAGAGCCTGGAGCCTGCTTCGGATTCTGTGTCTCCCTTGCTCTCTGCCCCTCCCCTGCTCGTGTTCTGTCTCCCTCTCAAAGAGAAATAAACATTAAAAAATTTAAAATTTTAAATTTTTAAAAAAGTTGCTATACTTCTTCACCTTGAAACTGATTTGTGGGAATTAAATTAGCTACATCCTTGTATCCTTGGAATGTCCTAAGACCTTAGAGAGCACAGCAGACTATGCCTCAAGAAGAATGGTGGACTGATGCGGAAAAACGACAGTGACATTCTAAGTGTTCTTGTTGACTCCAGGGACTGCCTGTCAGCAAGTCCCCCGTTAACTGGTTCCTGCTCACTTCCTCCTTGGAGATGTGGATCATCTCAACTGGCAGAACCCTTGGGCAAAGGATGCAGTGTTCTGAAGGGCAGTTTGAACCCTTTTCTGGAGGGGTAAAAGAACACTCTACAGGGAGGGACTGAAGATTCAAAAGAGTAACCAAATGACAGCATGAACAAAGTTGTGGGACTTTGGTGGGGGTTTTCTCAGTGACGGCACGTGGTCTGTTCATCCCTCTCCCCCCGCCCCCGCACCCCCCATGGTTAGTAAATGTTCCCCTGTTTGCAGGCTCAGCCCATGCTGGGCTCTTTTCCAGCGTCTCCAGTCAATTCAAAAGAGGGGTGGTTGGACGGGAGCCTTTATCAAAGGAGCTTAAAAAAAAAAAAAAACCCAACTTAGTTTCATTCTTGAGGATAATGGCCCTGTTATAAAAAGGAGAGAAAAGAGGGCTTTGTGGTGCTATTCTTCTAGGTTTGCCCGGTAAGGAAGGGAGTTCAGTGTCCCTGGGGGCTTGAAAGCTTCTCCTTTAAGTCACAAGAAAGGAGCGTAATGGCTCCAGAAGTTCTGCCAGAGAGTAGTGGGGAAGGAAAGGAGGTCTTGTACACCTCTCTCCAGATGTTTTATAAGTAGGCAGCAGACCTGAGAAATCAACTGGCATCTTTTCTGGAGCATCCAGGGGGCCCTGGGTGCCGGGTGCCCTGAGGCCCCCGGTGCAGTGCTTATCTGGTAATGGCCCTGTGAGTGAGGACACACGGGTGATGCTTTTGTAATGAGGGAAGCCCGGCCTGTCAGTGTGTGCGGGTTGCAGGGCGTGTGGGCTCGTCCCAGGGCTCGCGAGTGTCAGCCAATGTGTGAAACTTAATTTCTCTAGAATCCGTTAAATCGAGCTCCAAACTCCCCCTGGGCGGGGCTGGTGGGCGACCCAAGTTCAACCATGACTCACGGGTAAGGGAGCCGTCTTCTTCCCTCGCGTAGATGCCAGAGTTCTCCGGGCTTTTGTAGTCCAGAGGTTTGGGGAGGTCCTAGGTTTGAAGTCTACCATTGCTGCTGAAGTGCTTGTTTTCCAGGCATGGGGGTGGTTCAGCTGCTCGCCACTGCCTGCATCTGTCAGACGTCTGGAGCTTTGTCCTGGTCCCCGAGGCCATGGGAGACAGACTTGGGTCCCAAGAACCCACGTTTGACTTCTGGAGAGGTTCTGACTCACGTGGTGCATGCACAAAGTACCACCAGCGCACCAACCCTCTCCAGGCTTCCCCCCGCGTTCTCTGCTG